AACTTGAATTGCGTTGGAGATGGCTAACTGCCCCGTAGTAAACGAAGAGGAAATTCCAAATTTTTACGAAAGCTTGAGCAGGCAGCACCGGTTCGGGAACCCGTCTTATAGAGTCTTCAGGTCGTTGTCAAAAGTCGTCAACTTTCTCCCCCGTAAGAGAGGCAAGCTTTGACATCCAGGGTAGAAACTCTGGAAGGTCGTAGCCGCCGCAGTAATCTGACTATTTTAATAATTCCCTAAGTCAAATACAAAGGAAACCGCCGCTGCGTGTGAAGAACTCGTTACAAACTTGTGCCATGCTCACTTAGGCGTAGACGATATTTCTATCTAAAAGGCATACCAGCTAGGCAAGCACTCCGCTGATTGTAATCGACCAGTATTTGCAAGTTTTAGTTTGCTGAAAGAAAAAAAATATATATTTAATGCTCGCAAACTAAAATGTACAAATTTAAGCATCTCGGAGGACCTCTTGGATTCTGTTTGTGCTGCAAGAAAGCAACTGTGGGAATACGCAAATGCTAACCGTCGACCGGATAGCAGGGTTGTGCTAAAACATGACTGCTTGCTCCTGGATGGGGTCGAATTCACATGGGATATGATGAGGCAAAGTTGGTGACTCGGCATTGACTACCTAGTAAACGCAAAAAAGTGTCCAATAAGCATAACCCTTGTCAACTGCAGAAGCGTGAAGAATAAAGTAGATGAGCTACGGCAGCTTGTAAACATGACTCAGTCACAGTTTGTAATCGGCACGGAGTCGAGGCTGGACGAAAATGTTCTCGATCAAGAGGTTTTCCCTGATAAATACTCAAGTTATAGAAAAGAAAGAAATTCCCGCGGAAGAGGTGTCTTCATTCCTGTTCATGAGAGTATTGAGAGTATTGTCTCCAAGGAAATGCTGATTGAAACTGAAAACGTTGAAAACGTTTGGTGCAAACTCTCCTTGGGTAATGGTGAACGACTGGCCGTTGGTGCTTTTTACAGGCCACCAAGTACACTGTCGAGTGTTTTGAGGTCTATACCTGAAGTTGTTTTTTCTATTGAATGCGCTAAAATTATAACTGTAGGTGACTTTAATCTACCTGCAATTAGCTGGAAGGCGAATGATTACGGGGCTGGCGTAGGAGGAGAAATATACCAGGGTGTCGAACCGGAACCGAACCAAACCGAAAACCGGAACCGAACCGGTATTTTTTCCGGAACTGAACCCGAACCCGAACCGTTATATTGTTATCGCGATGAACCCGAACCGGAACTGAACCGGAACAAAAATAACGGTTATCGGCTCATGTCAAAACGGTTCGGCCACGCGCTGTTGACAATGAATGTGCTATCAATGCCATTTGTTTTTTAAGTGCCGTCAACTGACACACACCTCGCTTACATATTTTTCTTCTCCATTCAGTTTTATGAATATAAACGCTGCATCCATGAATCTTGACAAACGCTGCATCCATGAATCTTGACATACGAACCAGTATTTCGCTGGTTGCGGCTGGCACGGAAGAAAGAGAATTGGAAGGCTGTGCAAAAAAAGAAAATCGCGTCACGGGATTTCATTTTCCTACAATCTCGTAAATCCTAAATGCTGCTGTGTGCTCATTTCATAACACGTTTCTAGAACGCGCGAGTTTTTGAAGCTTGCTTCCATCGGAATGAGAAAAGAAAAGGCTGTGGAGTTTGATAATAATGCATCCGGTTTCGTATAGGCACTTAGAAGCTAACATATTTGTGAGACAGCGAACTCTTTTATTTTAATATTTATCCTATTACGTCCTTCTGGCGTTGCGTTCGGTGAAGTGTTTTTCATATTCCGTATCTTGTTTAATGAAAACTTCTTTAAAGGGTCTAATTTGAGTTACCGAAGGCTAGTTTAAATTAAGAAAGCTGTATTTTCTCCCCACTGTTCCTTCAATTGCTTATACGCCGAGGTGGCGGGATAGTTAGCGAGTTCTACTTGTAAGTGGGTTTGTAAGGAGGTCGCGGATTTTACAGCTACTGCGTCGGACCCAATTAGATGAAGTCCGAATGCGTAAACGTGGGTGAGGTAACCTCTGAGTGCAAATAAAGAAATCATTCCTGGTAGAAATCCCTGAGCCTTACACTACGATGTATCCCGTTTCGTATGTGCTGATTTCAGATGTTTTATTTGTAATTAATTTTGGTGTTGCAATTTGTCATTTATAATTTCCGAACCGGTTCGCGGATCGAATTAGTCGAACCGGAACTGAATCGGAACAAAATAAATTTACCTGAACCTGAACCGTAACCGAACTCGTATTTTTTTCGGTTCGACACACTGAAATTTACAGAGTTTTTTTTCCAATTTTATGGACCTGTGTTCACTTTAACAGTACGTTCTTGATCCAACACGCAACGATAAAACAGAACACATTTTAGATTTGCTTTTATCCAATACACCAGACATTATTTCAAATCCTCAAGTGATACCTGGCATCAGCGACCATAAAGTGGTTGAGGCGGATGGTAACCTTACAAATACTAATGCCGGTCCACGAAAACCGTGGAAGGTGTTTTTGTACAACACGGCAGATTATGACAGCATGGCAGCGGCACTTGATTCGCATTTTCCAACCTTTGAGGCGTTGGCTGAGGAATTGAGTATCGAGGACATCTGGTGTCTTATTAAGAGCAAAATAGCTGAATTAACGAATAGCTTTGTTCCTTCCTCTATGCTTACTTCGAAGCGTGCGCGTGACAAACCTTGGGTATTTCGCCAGCTCCGCAGTCTTATTCAGAAGAAGCGAAGGGCGTTCCTGAAGTACGGCGGCACTCGGTTTGTAACTGATCTTGTCAAGCTACGCGAACTAACAGTATACGTAAAACCCAGCACCCATACAGCAAAAAAAAAAAGATATATATATATATATATATATATATATATATATATATATATATATATATATATATATATATATATATATATTTCGAGGCATTTGAAGAGAGGGTGAAAGGTAATCCAAAGGAATTTTGGAGATACGTGCGCAACAATGCCAAAACTGATATCTTCTTTCCGCCGCTTAATCACGGTGAAAGTGCTGTGCAAAGTGATACTCATACGGTCCAGCTTTTCAATTCATATTTTTATTCCGTGTTTGACCCGCCTGCACATCGGGATGCTTCTTTCCGTGCGCCCTTTGCGACTGAGGAGATGCTTCCGTTCAGACTCGAAGTAGAAGGGATTAGAGAGTTTTTAATTGAACTTGACGTAAGTAAGGCAACAGACCCTGGCAACATTTCTCCCTGTAATATTAGGTCATGGTCTGGAATAGTCTGCTTGTATTTTTATGTTATTTTTGAGAAATCTTTCAATACAACATAATACCCATTAGATTCGAAACTTGGTCGGGTGGTCCCGATACACAAGGGTGGTATGGAACGTGGTCACGAATTATCGTCCGATTTCACTCACTAGTATCGCTTGTTAGGTAATTGAGCACGTGTTATACACTGGCAGAATCCATCATGTAAATGCCTCGGGAATACTGCATTCGTCGCAACACGGCTTTGGCCAGGGCTACTCGTGCGTAAAACAGTTAACAGAGTTTGTACACGAATTGGCCGATGCTCTGGATGGCCGTGAAAGCGTTGACTGCATTTTTCTTGGTTTAAATAAGGCGTTTGATGTTGTCTCCCACGGCTTGTTATTGCAAAACTTCACGGTTACAAAATTTATTAAAAAAAGTGGTATATTGGATACGTAAATATTTGTCCCTCCGAAAACAATACGTTGTGCTAAATTGTTGCCAGTTTGAATCTGCTGACGTGACATCGGGAGTGCCGCAAGGATCTGTCGTTGGGCCGCTGTCGTTTATGCTGTATTTGAATTATATTGTGGGTGTAATTGTGTGATCTCCAGTGCGTCTCTTTGGAGACGATTGTGTTGTTTATCAAAAAATACGAGCGAGTAATGATGTCGACATTCTACAAGCGCATATAAATACAATCACCGATTCGTGCAAACTGTGGGAACTTAATATTAATCTTAAAAAAAAAAAACTGTTCACGTTTCATTTACGAGACGACGAGCTCTATCCCTCAGTGCTTATACTATTAATGACGAGCCACTCGCTGTAGCCTAGGAATACAAATATCTCGGTGTATTTCCAACCTCGACCTTAAGTTGGAATAGGCATATTGACTATACTGTATCTAAAGCCTCAAGAATGCTTGGCTTCCTCGCTCGTAATTTTAAGCCTGTACCACTTTCCTTAAAAGAAATACTTTATATTTGACATGTCCAATCAGTATTATAAAATATGCTTGCACTATATGGGACCCCCACACTGCTGTTCAAAAGACCAAACTTGAAAGGATGCAGAACCGTTCTACCTGTTTTGTTTTAAACAATTATGACAGGCGACGTAGTATGACTTATGCGAAACAGAGCTTAGGAGTGAAGGAGCTAAGCTATAGAGGGAAGAGCCTTCGATTAAAAATTTTTAAGATCATATTTCATTCTAGGACTGGGATAGAAATAAATGCCTACTTTCACCCGCCAGATTACATATCGCAACGAAAGGGTCATGTTTCTAAGGTTCAGGAAATCCGCTGTAGAACTGGCGTCTTTATGAACTCATTTTTTCCTAAAATAATATGGGATTGGAACGGTTTGCCAACCTCGGTAGTGGATTATGTTCCTAACGATATGTTTTATTACACACTAACCTCCTAGTGTATAGTTCACTTTTAATAGACCGCACTGCTATGTAGCCTAATCTTTGTTATGATGCTAAAATATTTCTGGCTTGTGTATATTGCTCTTTGAATCTTTTTATAACTATTTGCGTATTTCCTTCCCAACTTCCCCCCTACTGTAATGCCCCATGGCGCTGTAGGTATCTAAATAAATTAATTAATAAGTTAAAAAATTTAGACTAAGAAAGGTTAGTTCAAATCGACTCCGAAGTCCAACGTGCGACTTTAAAACAAAATTGTAGTCAGGAGTGCATAAACGCTAAACGTCTCTTTTTTAAACAGCAGGCTGGCTGAAACAATTATCTGCTAAAGGTGGATTCAATAAGGATGGCAAGACGAGCGTTCTGGGTAAGTCCCTGCTAAGTACTTCCTTATGCCCACTTTCGTAACTTTACTCAGTTTTTACTCTGGTAATGAATACGGGGCCTTTAAGCGACATTTCGTTATCGGTTGGACTAACAAATAAAGTTACAAACATTAAATATTGAATTTGGAGTGTTTGAAATATTCTGCTTTTTCGCGCTGGATATTACTTCGTACATGGCCGAGAAGGAACGCTACCCCGTACTTCTAGAAGATTCGTGTTTACCCTTACCTCCCAGTGATCGACGATCGAATACTCTAGGTCGGATATTCGTGATACCGAGGGTAGTAGATAATGAGCCCAGCATGGCGTTGCCTAGGGGCACTTTCGCTCTATAGAGCGAGAGTGCCCCTAGGCAAGCGCTGAAAAGTCGGCGTGACAGCTGGCTGTTGCCAGCTGTCACGCCGACCCTTCAGCGCTTGCTGCGCCTTTATCGACGCTCGTTCTTTCTTTGGTTTCTGGTACAAGTTCGCCGATTAAACATTTATTTTTAGTTTTACGTTTGGCTATTCTTTATTTTTTTTTTTTGTATCCGAGGCAATATAATCAACTTCCTATGCCCCGGAAGCAACGACTGACTGTACGTAAATCTGCTATAGTAGCTCACAGAGGCAGGTATGAACTTTATATTCAAGGGTTATTTGAACGAAATGCTTTGTGGTAGTTGTTTTACGAAATGAAGGTTTTGACTTACAATAAAGTAAGCCACGCCGAATAGAAAAAAAGCAACAGAAGATAATTCCAGGTGGTCAAACTCAGAAGGCAACTTTCGCAAAGACAGCCATTTCTTGCTGATGAAAATAATCCCTGGAGAAAGGGAACAAGAGGGACAAAGGATGAACACAAATCTCCAATCTGCTTGGAGATTTGTGTTTGTCCTTTGTCTCCAATTCGTTTGGAGACAAATCTCCAATCTGTTTGGAAATTTGTGTTTGTCTTTTGCCCCTCTTGTTCCCCATCTCCAGAGATTATTTTCGTCAAACTTGTCCAGCTCGCTTGCACCTTTGCATTTAATTGCCTTATTAGCCATTTGTTGTTTTTGTGTAGGCTACTGCTCTTCATTTCTAGCATGCACATATATAACATACTTTTTCTGTCTACAGGTCCCAAGTACGACCTCTTGTTTCAGAAGATCGAAGGTGAGACAAAACAAAAAATAAAGAAGTGCATAACTTCGACGACTTTGATTGCATCACCTTCTTCCCGTGGGCCAGCGTTGCTCTACAGCTATGATTTTAACCTGGCTTTGACTACACAAAGCTGGTGTCTGTCACCCTCCCTGTGACTATTGTTAAATCTGCCGGATGCCGGATGCGGAGTTTTCAATACACTTTATTTCAGTAGTCTCAAAACTTCGTGAATGTGGAAGGTGGGAGATTGTTTAAAGTAGGTAGATTACGCATGCTGATAATGGCACCATGTTGTCAGGGGCTGTAACACGCTTCTCCAACACTTGCTTGTTCAAATTGCCGCAGAATCTACAACGTTTGCCTGCATTCATGTCTCGGGTTTTTTAGCGGCGGAACGTTATGTGCTTTTAGGCCGTCTGGGTGACGATCCAGTTGGATATTTGAATTGCTAAATGCATTTGAATGACCAAGTGCTTGAATTACCAAATGCTTGTAGTTTGGCGAGTGATGGGCAAAAACTGTTTACTAGACTTACAAGCTCTCATTCATCTTGTAAAGCTGACAGTCTCAATACCTCCAATACTGAGTTGTCTGGAGTCTTGATCATCGTTAAGATTGTGGTCTTGTACGCAGCGCTTCATGGTTGGGCCTTTTATATGTTTTCTTTGAAAGAATGGTTCTGTCGTTTTGCAAGACTGACTCTCGTAGTAAATCTTCATCCCGATCTCCGGTTACCTTCAGTGGCAGCGTCGGCGACTTGATCGATGTCAACTGGAATTTATTGTATTGTAAATGGGAAACATTATACTTGCTATTTTTATTAGTCTCATAAATAAATAATTTTTGGCTGAAATTAATACGGTATACTTTCACTTCATATGCTTTTCAGACCGATCTGCTGGACTTCTCACGGCGCTTCACATCTTGCGATATCACGGTAAGTCTCTTCATTTGAGGCAAAAATATTCAAAATATAAATAAATCTCAAGAAATGTAATATCTGCAATTGGGGCCCTTTTCCTATGCTGCTATTGCCAGAGAAAGCATATTTCCCGCTTTAAATCCCGTTACTGCATGCATATTCATAGAAGAAGGTTATAAGCTCACTTTATTTCTCTTAAAGGCTCCTTTAAACCCCGACGTCGAGCACTCGTCTTTAAGATAGCACTACCTTCGAGGCAAGAAATTAATAATATATACATTATGAAATTTTTGCATTGCAGCTCAGGAACTTGACGCCTCAGGCAGCCGGAAAAGTAAGTAGTGCCAATGAACACGGCTACTATCTGGGCACTGGAATTCGCGCATTCTGTGGTAGTTAACAAGGAGAAAACAAACAAATAGAAACAAAAGCACTCTTTCACCTTTACAATGTCTGCACGAGAACTCCCTCGCAGAACACAGTGTGTGTCGATCATAGCAACCGACGGAGCGAGTGAAGTGGATCGCGTAGCAAAACAGAACTGTTTGCCTTGAAAACGCCGTCTGCCCAAGCACACTGCCCAAGTGAAACGCCGCGCCCACCGTGCCGGCGAAAAGCTTGTTTTCGAGTTCAACAAGCGATATTCCGATCTCATAATTAATTTGATATGTACCGTGGATCACGTGGTCCGTTATCTGTGGACCCTGCAAGGGGAGACCTAAGGCCCGTGCACACACTTGGAACCGACTACGACCGAGAGAGGCGATACCTGCTTTTAAGCTTCTTGCGACGTCTTAGGGCCGGAAGTGCTGCTGCTGAGCTGATCCTAAGACGTCTCAAGAGGCTTAAAAACCGGTTTTGTCTCTCTCTGTCGTAGTTTTTGTATAGTTTGTTTCATCGTCTTCGATATATCTGGTGTATGTATTTCCCTTCGAGATAGGAAAGGGGTGTCAGTAACTGGATGGTTAAATACGCTTGCGATGCATAAACCGTGTCACAGCTCTCTAGCAGGATTAGGTGTCTCATTACTTTGAGTGTGGAAAAGAATGTGACCATTTTTGTTTAAAAAAATATACCAAGAAAATGTTCTAGTGCGATATGTAACAGTGGCCCAAAATAATTTCGAGGCATAGCGTGAACATTTTGAAGCAACTCTAGGCTGAGAAAATACCAAAGTTGTCTCAAACATAGCTAAAATTTTGTTGCTGATTTAACGTAGCCTCCCTAATAGGGAAAGTCGGGCAGATCGAAAAGAGAGGTCACACAAACGATATGCGTATAAAAGAATGCAAAAAAAGGTTGTTTTAAAAGTGGCGCTTGTGAAATTGAAAGCCAGTTTTAGGATAGCTTCCCGCCTTTTCTTCCTAACAACTTTGCGAGAGACTGCAGGATGTAGTCCGCTTCTATTCTTGAAACTACGTCGCTACAAATCAGCTTCTGGTTAACTGGCGTCACATGCGAGGGTACTTGTGCCACATTTGTATCAGTACACTTACGTGAAGCTTGTAACAATGAAACCAAGTCTTCGCTCATTCCTTTTTAATAATTAATATCACTGAGACAAGAGATGAAAACGAGGGTTTTACCCCTGAAATTGCATGAGCAGTGCTTGAGTATATAGAAGAACATCATTGAATATGAGCGCTATACTAGGTAAGTATTAGACGCAGACATTTCAGAGAAGGCTCAGAGAACAGCTGGATGAAGGGATTGGTTTTGTTTGCGGCAATTTTTGTGTTAAATTCTCCATGGCCCTAACTTAATATGAGCCCTGCTTTGGGCTTCCTCCCTTTGCAGACCCCGAACTTGACGAATACTTCCAGCTCGTCCAAGGTGAGATATCTCTGTATGAGTTAGCAACCATTACTCTCCCAAAATTATCTGGGCTACGCCTGGCAACGCGAAGGCATGGAGCATCCTTCGGTGTTAGCAAGGGTATATACACTGCGGTCGTGGCTGTAGCGAGTTTTAAAACCGATGAAGTAATTCATAACAGAAGCCCCTACTTCCAGAAACGTGTCCGTCAGTCTGTCCGTCCGTGTTAAGGGGCACATACGTCAAGTACTATAACGTAACGCTACGTGACATTAAATGACCAACGTAACGTGTCGTAGCATTCCATCATATAACGTAACACGTCGTAATGTAATACTGTGTTGTGTGAGGTAACGCGACGTCACACGGCACGTGACAATGTGTCACGTTGACCCATGACTTGATATCGTGATATCAGTTGGCTTGTCTTTGATTAAAAAACAGGATATACTTCACTTCCCGATGCGACTGCTTAATGTCTTTTACAGAAATTTTAACTAGTGTTCATTAAATATACCACATTCAATTAATTATACAATTTTGGAGATAAAAGTCGCTGAACTTTTTTTCCACGCCTCAGCCAAGGTCCTGAAACTGTATGGGTCCCTCTACCACCTCCGAAAAACAGGTAAAATATGGAGCATGGCGCATTTTTTCCTCGCATTGTACTTCTTTGTCGGAAATCTATCTAAAACCGAACCAAGCTTTTTTTTAATTTGAGAAGGGGACGGTGAATTTGTCGGAGGATTACTTTCTTGGTATCCAGCATGATCTGGACACTAGAAACGAGATACAGAATGTGCTCCACAAGCTCGATTTCGAAATGACTGGCTCCAATACATTTAGGGCCATTCACCGTATACAGAGCGCTTGTCGATGAACCTTGTGCAATGAAGTTTTCAAATTGCTGCAGAACCCAGCATCGTGGGTTCGATCCCCACTCATGCCCGTTTCAATCTGGATGAGCATCGTACCGGCGTGCGGTCGTGTATCACTACTGCGTGATGCACGTTACAGACCCCAGGCTAGCGGTTGTACCGCACTGGCTAAATTGCTCATCTACAGCTGGAAAACTCGTCGCCCGTTGAGGCAGACCAAGTTCTAGACTGTATGAACAGACACACAACCCCCCAATTTGCCAAATCGTCCGCGCTACAAGCGATAGCGGAAGGGAGTCTAATATTACGCATGAGAATGTAGGAGTTGTATTGTTTGTGCTAGAGCCACTAAATAAACTGCGCTTAGAGTATCGGCACTCCGGTCCCCGACATTGTTGTGGGCGCCGCCATTTTGGCTCGTATGCAGAACAGACGCAACGGCCGATCGTCATGATTCAAAAGTGCGACTTCCTCAGCATTAGATTCGGTGTTAGGAAGGTAATGTAATACTGCTTTGCTCTGTCGCGAACGGTTTAAACATTTGTGGAGGGCGGAAAAGCATTTACTGTGATTTCAGATAAAGCTTTAGATAACTGGTAACCATGATTTTAAGCCACAATATGGCCAAGTGTCGTTACTCTGAAGCGTAGCTTATTTAGTGGCACTAGTTTGTGCCAAAGACATCAAATGACGCAACTCCATTGCGGATTCCATATACTTGCAGCAGTCCAGAGCGTGGCGCCTGCTTTTGCTCGTTCATGGGGTAAGTAGAAGGGGGCTTCCCCTGTTTGCTCGATCGGGTCAGCACGCCCAACCGTTTAGTCGCAAGAGCCAAAAACAGCCGAGTCGGCGTCGTCGACTTCCGACGTTATGCTTTATTCAGCTCATATACTTCATTCGAGGTCAGTGTGCCAATCTCCGGATCTCTATAGTCTGTTTCACTTAAAGTGCGACCGCACCCTTCGCTAAGGTCCGACGGAGCCCAATCAAGGAGCGCCAAGAGTGCCTTGTCACCGGAATCGTCGGACTTTGTGAGTTCGCTGTCACCGGTAAAACAAATTACGCACCGAAAAAAAAAATCGTATTTATCGTGCGTGATTGGTCGAGTCGGTGATGGGAAACGCACAAAAGAGATGCGCGCCTTGATTGGCTCCCTTTAGGCTGAAGCGTCAGCTGCGGTTAGGAGTTAAAGGGGAAACGAAGTATGGAAGCTTTAATGGAGAAACTGAAGCCGTTATGTATATAAGTACAAGCACTTCAGATCGTCTTTATTCGGTCTCCGGGATCACGAATATCGAGAATATATATATATATATTTTCTTTTTTTATTTCTTCTTAATTGGGAGCACGAAGGCGGCAGAAAATTGTTTTCAAAGTACCGCCGAAGCCCCACCTTCTTGCCTGAGCGTGACGTCATAAAAGGAGTTTTCTATATCTCCCCTCGCACGCATCTTCGGCGCCTATCAGGGCTATGCACGCGCAGTCTTGCTATTTAAAAAAAAGGTAAAAAAAAAAAAGACTTTTTGACTGGTGTCGGTGCGGGGGCATATACATGGCAAGCTTGCATTTGCGAGCGCTGGCCACACGAGCGACACGCGCCTGGTGACCGAAAGGATCTCTTATGACGTAACGAATGTTCTAAGGTTTTTCGTGTTTTCTAGCGTTTCGTCACATCTTCGGGGAAAACGAACGTGATATTCAAAATCGCGGGATAAAAATACGCAAAAATTCAAATCTGACCAGTTGTTATTGTTGTTGTTTTCAAGAAACTCTTCAGCTTCCCTTTAATCCTTCACAGGCTCAACCATTCTGTGAGCTTGAGAAAACTAAAAGTGAAACCAAATCTATAAGCTGGCACGCAAAAAAAAAAAAAAAAAAACCTACATGTCTGACCCACAACCGAAATCACGAAAAAAAAATATGCGCCACTTTTTGTAGCATTATTGTTGTTGTTTCTTTTCTTGCTAGTCGTATGTTTATCTAGGATAAGGGCCTTGTTCCGCTAAATTGACATTGAAACATTGCTATGAACTTAGCTCTTAGAATTTTCCAAACGCGAGTGGTACTGCTCGAAATTGCTCGTTTCTCTTATAGGCTATCCTTCATTTTACTTCAAGTTAGAGTGCTTTCAAGGGCTCGAAAACTGGATTATATAAACTTGCAGTCTAAAACTGCAACGGCGCGGAGCGCTTCATTTCTGCTTTTGGTTGAACTAAAAGACAATAAAAGACCCCCTCCCCCTCCGCCCCCCCCCCCCCCCCCCCCCCCCCGGCCAAAAAAAAAAAAAAAAAGACAAACGCAGTAAAGTTGCGTTTTGTTTTTATTTGATGGGTTCTACGGGCTCCTAGCGTCCGAGTTCCGACGTATAGTGAAATAAAGTATTAGCGACGTGCGCGGCCAAAAGCGTCGCTGTGGTCAAAGTTCGTGATTGGCCAAACGATAGCCCCCTGTTTATTTGTAATGCCTGCCCAATCGCCGGTTCACGGCAAGGCAAATCCTGGTCGTGACGTCGCGAAGGGAAGCCAAAAGAGGGCGCCACCGAAACATTTTGGCGCTAATTGCTTCATTTTTATGGTTTCATGGACCATTGTTGGTTCTTTTCATTTTTCCTAGAGTGGTTCTCAACCACTGATGTTTCGCGGACCCTTTGTTGACCAACGGAGATGGTGAGGGACCCCGTTTGTGGTGAGGAGAAGGGAACGGTATAGATTAATTAGGATATTCATTTAGCAAATGGATACAACAAGGGGCTGGTAATGAACCAGACTTCTGTCATTGACATACACAGGAGAAAACTCACCCGAAAGTTAAAATGTTACTTGTCAACCTGACAAAAAAAAAAAAAATTCTTGCCGGGCTTGACAGATGAGGTAGGGCTTCGCGGACCCCTAGAGTTCCCTCGCGGACTACAAAGGGTCCGAGGACCCCTATTTGAGAACCGCTGCTATATGGCATGCAAATCTGCAAAACCGCATCTCCCCGCGCATAAGAGAGAAGGCGCGAAAAGGCGAGAGGAAGGGATCACGTGTGCAAAGAATCTCCACCGCAGCAGGGTCCTGCGGTCCTGGGAGCAGCCATTTTTTAACTGTGCTCTTCTCGGCTTTAATCAACATCTCGCGATGCGCGAGTTCTCCTTGGAGTACTACAAAGACCCATTGCGTACGCACGCAATTTTCGATAAATAGCGTACTCTGCAATTGCACCCGCAAAACACGGTTAGCGTTCCGCGCATGAGCTGTGGCGACGACGCTATTCTTTGCCTGCGCAAAGCTATTGCGACTGTTAAACTCCCTAGTGTGTGCAGATTGGTTTTATGTATAATGTTAAGCAGTAGGACCGATGCCTAACGCGGCACTGCGGGTAAATTAAGACAAAGGCGAATGTCCGAATGTGGAAAGGGGTATTCGCATCCCCAGAACTGTATTTGTGTTCCCTTTCCCACAGGACACTGCCTTTGTCGTTGATAGCTGTACTCCCAGTCATCTTGGGAACAACATGACGTGGGGTGGCCCAGTCATATCATGAGCAGCCTATGCGAGAAAAACAGACGCGTCAATAACACATATAAATAGCAAGGTTTATAGTCATTATCTATTATAGTAGGATGTCTAGCATAATAATTGGAAGATATAGTGGTTGAAGTGGCAAATGTATTAAACATATGCCAAATGTTTTTTGTTTTCGTTTTTTGTCGTTATTTTACATTAGTTATCTTGTGTTTTCTGGTTGCCAGGACCTGTGGGCGGGCCCAAATGAGGCGCAGCTCGGACTCGTTCCGGCTGAGACAGCGTTGCACGCGCCCGGGCCGATAAGCCCCTATGAAGATGGCTTATTGATATGAACACATTTCTATAATTTTGCTTATTAATGCTTGGAATAAACGTTTCGACTTGATACGTCATTGATTGTTGTGCTCATTTTTGTTCCCTTCTCGCGAAATTGCGCTAGCAAAGCAAAAAAAAAAAAAAAAGCATGCACACGTATATTTTTAGTAAATAGGTGCTTGGGTTTTTATAAGAATGCGATGCATCTTCAGGGGCGCCGCCGTAGTATCGGACATCCTTATGGAAGTTGGAATCAAGCAGTGACGTCATCTGGATCTCTGGTGGCCACCACAGGAACTAGAGCAGTGTGGCAAACAAACACCCGTCGTAACTGCAAGAAGAGTGAGCGGGCAAGCGGGCTGGTGAATACTGACATGACTAAACAGGAGTCTGCGAAAAAAAGAAAAACAAACGAAAAAAAAACAAACAAAAAAACTCACACCTTTTCCGTAGAGCGCCGCGTGAATTCGCAGCCATGAACCGGATAAGACTCGTTTAGAACTGTTCCTTTCCGCTAAAAGCACACAAAAAGAACCAATTCCCTTTCACTTTGCGCTAAATGCCTCCGAGGTCTGATTAGAAGCGATAATAAATTGCTATGCAGCAACACGCGAACGCGTTGCGCGAGCCGTTTGCTGCGAGCTGTGTCGCGCAATGCACGCCTGTCCCGTAATGCGCCGAGAAAGTGAGGAAGAGGAGAAGACGAGAGTGCGCGGTGATGTCAGAACGCTGAGCTCTGACTGGAATGATTAATAGGTATTGACCTAAAACTAGATGGCTCTGTCTCGACTGCACTCGTCGAGCACGTTCGAATTCCAAAGCCAAACGCCGGACGCCGCCACTCCGCGTACTAATACCTTCGACGAGTGAAGGGGAGACAAAGGCAGCTAACATTTTAGGTCTACCCACTACCCACTACTGAAAGT